GGGGGGGGGGGGTCTAGAAAAATTATATGATTTTTTCTTCGTTTTTTTCGTTTTCTTCAATAACACGGGTTCTATGCAGCCAATTTTAATTTATAACAGCTCAAAATTTTCCATTTTTTACCATCTATAAGAAAATATTGGGCAATTTTTTCCCAATCCCTAGGTGCTCCTAATACCAAATTTTCAAAAAAAAAATGAAAAATTTCCATTTTCACAATTATGTCACCTTTTATTTTTCTCATCTTTTTTCCAGTAATTCGCATAATCAAAACAAGTATTTCAAGCCATCATACAAGTTGAGTTTCGTCCTGGATCTATTTTATTTTTAATTTTTTCTTCTCGAAATTCCACGACTTTGGTCGAAACACCCCAAAACGACTTTAATTATGTATCAAAAAATATGTAACATATGAGTATACATTTAAATTTGTTTTATACTATTTATAATCCAAGTCAATGAACGCCATTTTGAGGTATTTTGACCAAATTCGTGGAATTTCGAGAAGAAAAAATTAAAAATAAAATAAATCTGCAACGAAACCCAACTTTTATGACTTCTCAAAATACTTGTTTTCATTACAAAAGTTGCTGAAAAAAGATGAGAAAAATAAAACGTGACATAATTTTGAAAATTCGAATTTTTCCACTTTAATTTGTTGAAAATCCGGTATTATTGGTACTTAGGGATTGAAAAAAGAAATTCCTCAAAATATTCTTATGGATGGTAGAAAATGGAAAATTTTGACGTGTCATAAATAAAAATCGGATGAATAGAGTTATTGAAAAAAAAAGAAAAAACAAAGAAAAAATCATATCTCCGAAATGGGGTGTCAAAAAAATCTGAAAAGAATGGAGATCCTCCTTTTAGTCCCCCAATAGTAGAAAAAATCGAGATCAATTTCCAAGAGGGTGCGGGTCTGCTGTTGATTCATTGAACGTGGAATACCGCATATAAAAAAAAATATCAAGAAATTGTTTTTTGGTTTTTGTGAGATTCGAAAATTGTGAAAAATTACTTCAAAGAACATGGAGAGAATTTTCCAACTCACATTGATGGATTATCCCCAGAAGTCACTGGAAAAGGCACCACGTGAGTGATTCAATCTACGAAGAAGGCATTTGAAATAAATAAAAACTAAAAATCATGGCCCAAAGTAACTAAAAAAAAAAAGTGACGAGAAATACCGGAGCCGGATTTTGTTATTTTGAGGTTACAACTGGATTTATTGATCGAATTAAGTACTCACCGGGTTTATTCAACCATCAGACACTGGTACGAATGTGTATTTGGTTAATTGAACGGGTTTCTAGGGCCTGACGTTATCAAACGTCCAAATATCTTTTGTTCTACGCCTTGTCAATGAGTACGTACGTCGTTGCGACTGTCGTAGAATCGATGCGGTAAACACTTTTGAACAGACCAACCGACAATGACGTATATATGCTTGTGTGCGTATCATGTCGAGAGTATAAATAGACCGAATCGGGGTCTAGAACGTAGCGCTTCACATAATGGCAGAAATGCTTATTTCAGTCTTTCGCAATTCCAAAACGACATTAGACGGTAATGAGTTATTAATTGCATAATTGGATTGATGATTAGTCATTCCCAAACAGTTGGGCACGATTTAGTCCGTATTGTATCAGAAATTGATTGTTGAAATTGCGGTGGGACGTCTGTTACTGTCTACCACGTGAGTTAATGTGATTTTGTCTCACTCGCGTAGTCGCGATGTGTATTAACGATCGTCACGCCCCTATAGCCGCACGCAGGATTGGGCGAGTAAAATACCACCGGTATTTTACCAAGTTGTCTACATGTAAAAAAAAAACGTAATTTACCCAGGATGTTTTAGACCTTTTTGACAGCGTGTGTGCAGGATTAAGAACAACGCAGTTGTTTTGGGGAGGGAACAACCCCGTTGACATGGTTGCAAGGGTCAAACATCGCAATAGTCATACCTCGCGAGGATCAAATATCGCAAGGGTTTGACCTCGCGAGGGTCAAACGTTGTAACGGTTAAACAACAGAGGTAGGCAGGGGACAATCTCAAAGACAGGGCAAGTAAAATACCACCGGTATTTTACCAAGTTGTCTACATGTAAAAAAATACGTAATTTACCAAGGAGGTTTTAGACCTTTTTGACAGCGTGTGTGCGGGATTGAGAACAACACAGTTGTTCTGGCGCCTGAACAATCCTGTTGGCAGCATTGTAAGGGTCATACCTCGCGAGGTCAAATCCTTGCGATGTTTGATCCTCGCGAGGGTCAAACGTTGTAACGGTTAAACAACAGAGGTAGGCAGAGGACAATCTCAAAGACAGGGTTGGGTAAGTAAAATGCCACCGGTAATTTACCAAGTTTTCTACATGTAAAAAAACAAGTAATTTACCAAGGACGTTTTAGACCTTTTGACCGCGTGTGTGCGGGATTGAGAACAACACAGTTGTTCAGGCGCGAGAACAACCCCGTTGACATAGTTGTAAGGGTCATGCCTCACAAGGGTCAAACATCGCAATAGTCATACCTCGTAAGGATCAAACATCGCAAGGGTTTGACCTCGCAAGGGTCAAACGTAACCGTTAAACAACAGAGGTAGGTATAGAGAACCGTCTCAAAGATCAAACAACAAGCGGCAACCGGGGAGGCAGGAAAGACAATCACAACGGTCGAACGATTATGAGGGCCACGCAAAGGGAGAAAGACAGAAAATCGCCAAAGATCTAATGGGAGATATGATCGTCACGAGAAATAACTCTTGCGACCTCTGAATTCTGCGACATTGGCCCCTCGGGAGGTCTGACCCTCATGACGTTTGACCCTTGCAAGGTATGGCCCTCGTGACGTTTGAAGCTCGCAATGTGTAACTCTCGTAAATTTCAGTCACAAGGAATCCGGCACTGATAGTCGGGTTAAGCGGTTTTCTACCAGTTATTTACCTTTTTTTACCATTTAGAGGTAAATTACCGGTATTCTACCATGTACCGTTGGAAACGCCGATTTTCAGTGCACGACCGAACCCTTGTTGCAAATATTTCCGCTCTCCGCGTGTATAAATTGTCTTTTTACAGGTGTGCTGCAATAGTATATTTCGATACGATATCTTCTAATATCAGGCTTCAAATGAATTCAATCCTAGCTTAAAATGTTTGTTTTAATCCCATTAAGTCAAAGGTAAAAGATAATTACGATATCTATATTGGTTGATTTGATTTTTATGATAATTGTTGAAAATTTCGATTTTTTTATAAATTTTCCTGAAAGTGAGTTTTCTGATGGTTTCTTAAAATGTTTCAAATTCATTCAAGTATGTATAAATCAAATTTTTCTATTAACATTTTATCGGAGGGTTGAGTGAAAAGATAGAACTGTAACGAAGAAAATCGGTTGTATAGAAGAAAGGGATAAAGGTTCTCAGAAAATATCGATTGTTGATTTTGTATTTTTGTTTTGTTTTTTTTTGTCTTCTCTCGCAGACAGTGTCTCTATCGATAACACGATAACGACGTTGTGATACATTCTGAGGAATCCATCAGGTCGTACGTAGAATAATACACCACAAACAAGTCGAAAAAGTTTCTTCATCTCGTATGGATTCGAAAGGGTCTCATGCATTGCTGATTTCATGATTTCACGAGATTTCACCGATTGAAAAATTCAATTGAAATCACCTGAAATCGATGAAATCCCAGGATTTCACTTGATTTCAACCGATTTCATACGATTTCAGTCCTGAGTGACAATGTGATTTCACAAAAGAATGGCCCCTCGCCTCTGCCATTTGAAATTTTACGCTTCAACTATTCAGTATGTAAGAGTATTTTTTCTCAGTCTTTTCTTTCCTTTTAAAAAATCCCGGGATAATATCTTTGCTGATGTTTTTTTCAAAATAGCCGCTTCCTTACCCAGAAATTTCTCCTCCAATAGCGTGCAACCGGCGTCCCCTCTCTGCGCATCACTGGCCATCTGAGGTAGAAGATGGCCGCAGGTGTTCTCCGGACAGTTTTAAAGAAATCCGGGGCATTTGCCCCGGATGCAAAGACCTTGTTGCAAAATTCCGGTGCCCTGAGTGTTTACAAGTAAGTGAATAAACAAAGTGTCACCCGAAAATTCAGGACTAATCAAAGACCATTATGTAACAACAATATAACCTCAACACTGCGCACTTGGCATTGTCATTCATCTGTTATTATTGAAATAATCATTCGAACTAATTTGTTGATGATTTATCAGTCCCCAGAGGAATGCAGGTCGTTGGTACCCAGATGAAGAGTACGTCAAGCAATTCGTGGGACCTTTGATGGTGCCCAATGATGGTGTCAAGTGGAAATACATGCCACCCCTGGATAAGCCAGCGGTCATTGAGAAAAATATCCAGAACACACGAATAAATTTTGGACCTCAACATCCAGCTGCTCACGGAGTACTTCGGCTAGTGCTGGAGCTCGAGGGAGAGTATGTCAGGAATGCTGATCCACATGTTGGTCTGCTTCATCGTGGCACTGAGAAGCTCATCGAGTATAAGACCTACATGCAGGCACTTCCTTACTTCGATCGACTCGACTATGTTTCCATGATGTGCAATGAGCAGTGCTTCTCTATGGCTATTGAGAAATTGTTGAATATTGAGGTGCCAATTCGTGCTAAATATATCAGGAGTAAGTTCAGAATTATTGGTAACTAGTGCCAACCTTAAAAGTTAAGAAAAAGGGAATAATGAAAGTTGATGCCCTTGGGAGTCAACTTGGAAGCTCAAGAAAATTGGTTCTTATTGCAACATTGGTTATTAATTTTTTTGGTTTATAATTATTGCTAATCATTGGTATTGCAATTGGTTGGTATCGTGATTTGATTTGTAGAATGGGCCTAATGACAGTTTCATTAGGCCCTTCGTGTCAGATTCGATTTTCCTTTTTTGCTTCCGAATGGAAGCATTGTAATCGTGATTTTTTTCAATTTCTTAATTTTGGGTGAAAATGCCCAGAAATTTCACGAAACGTGAAGAAATGATGTTTTTCAAAAATGTGTATGTGTGTGCACATGTGTGCATATGTCCAGAACTGTCCCCATAACTCGAGAATTATTGAGGCAAAGATTTTGAAATTCTGATTGGTAGTTGGTACTACTGAGACTCAAATTTGTGCTAAATTTTAGCTCGATCCATTGAGCGGTTCCTGAGATTGGTAATTCTTCGAAAAGCGTTTTTTGGCGAATTTTGGAGAATTAGAACTTTTCTCTCTGACTCTTAGAGACTATTTTCGTAAATTGAGTGAAAATCTCAATGTAACCAGACCTGAAAGAAAAATTAATTAAAAAATAATTTGTTTCGAATATAGGAAGAATTCAAATGGAAATTCTGCGTAGAAATTTTATGTTTTTTTCGGCTAAATAGTATTTTTTTACTCGGTTTTTTACTCGTGGTGTTGGCCTCCGAGCCGTAGGCGAGGACTGGCCAACCACACGAGTAAAAAAACCCCATCACAACAGCCCTGGAACAATATTTTTCTGTAGTGATTTTCAAGTTTTCGAGTTTGGGAAGTATGTAATACCAATTCCCAGACGAGAAATCGTGAGAAGCAGTACAGAAAACATATTTGTTCAACAAAAATGAATTATTTTCTCGGTACATTTTTCTTGAACCGAGAAGCTTCAAAGATGTTCTCAAAATGTCACTCTATGATATAAAAAAAGGAAAAATGAATTTCCTCATCCATCTAATTTTGACATCATAATTTTATTCAAAAAAATCACTTCTAGCATTATTTGCTGAGATTACACGAATCCTCAATCACATAATGGGAATCGGAACCCATGCATTGGATATTGGAGCTCTGACTCCATTCTTCTGGCTCTTTGAGGAGCGTGAGAAGCTCATGGAGTTTTACGAACGTGTGAGTGGAGCTCGCATGCACGCAGCTTACGTTCGTCCCGGTGGAGTGTCCCAAGATCTTCCTCTCGGTTTAATGGACGACATTTACCAGTGGGCTCGTCAGTACGCAGCCCAGATCGACCAGGTTGAGGATCTTCTGACCAGAAACGTCATCTGGAGGAGCAGAACCATGAACATTGGCACTGTGACTGTACAGCAGGCCCTCGACTGGGGATTCAGTGGTGTCATGCTTCGTGGTTCTGGGTACAAGTGGGACATCAGGAAGACTGCACCTTATGATGCTTATGATCTTGTTGACTTCGACGTGCCGATTGGTATTGCGGGAGATTGTTACGACAGGTAATTGAAAAAATGATTATTTATTTCATTTTTTCTCACTTTTTTTCAAAATAAAATGTATTAATCCAATTGGAATTACTTTATGAGTGAAATTGTGATCAGCAGTTTCTACTGTTGGTAGTTCTAAACATTTTTTTTTTCAATTTTGCTTCCGAATGGAAGCATTGCAATCGTTCGATTTTCACATTTTCTAATTTTGCTTGGAAATGATGCAGAACGGTCTGAAACGTAAAACTACGAAGTTGGGGACCATGTCTGTGCGTGACACTGTCCATGTTTTCGTAAATTTGATAATTAAACGGGAAAAACCATTCCAAAAAAATTGAAATTTTTTCAGTTAATTGGTATAACTTGAGACTAACTCCATGCCAAACTTCAGCTTGATCCGTCCATTAGTTTTGGAGTAACAGCCATTCGTTTTTTAACCTTTTCTCGCAAATATCTCGGAAAATATCCGACCGATTTCAATATTTTTTCTTTCAAAACATTCGGGATGATGTCCTCTATCTAAATCAATCAAAACATACACCCGTTCATACAAAGTTTTTGAGATATTTGGATTTTTCTGTTTTTGACTTGAAATCCTTGTTCGCGCTCTAACTTGAGTAAAAATTGAGATATCGACTTGAAATTTGGCATGAAGCTGTCTCTTATCATCGCAAGGACCTGTATGGAAGATGGGCTCAATCAGTCAATTATTTTCGGAGATATTCAACTTTGTATGTAAACTTACTGTCTTGAATATCTCAATAACGAGTTAACCGATCTCAATGATTTTTTTTTCAAAATATTTGGCTTGATGTCCTCTATCCAAATCAATCAAAACATATATACCCGTTCACACAAAGTTTTTGAGATATTTAGATTTTTGTTTTCGACTTGAATCCTTGTTCGCGCTCTAACTTGAGTAAAAATCGAGATATTCTAGATATAAACGCATCCATTCGGAAGCCTGCAATCAATATATTGATGGCGAGAAAAGAATAGACGTCCTACTCAGTAGAATATGTACAGCCGCATGGCTGCAGTCGCCTCCTTGTTTCTAACTATTTGAGGCTCAAAAATAATGCTAGAAAGCATTGTACTTTTTTTATTCATCAAAAAAATGAATAAATCACTCGTTCTACATCCAGAGAAAGAACGCATTTGAATCAAGTGGAATTCTGTATTTGAACTTTTTTTTATTCATTTCAAGAAAATCAATACACTCGAATATTCACTTCAATGAATCCTTTACTTATATGGAAAAAATAGTTTATTCATTCCCAATCAATTTTTTATGAAAATGAAATCAAAGATTATTGCATGTTTATAAATTTCTTCTCCCTGTCGCTCAAGTTATTGCATTCCTAATTGGGTCAAATAAATGAATGAATGGATAAATAAAACAAGTGGGAAATTGCTTTTATATTAAGATAGTATAGTTTTTTCGCTAATAAATTAAGGTGCAATATACTCCCGAATACTCATTTTGCACATCATCTGCTTGTATAGTATATAATTCATCGTTTCATACAATTTTTTTGATTCACATAATCAGTGGCAGTAAATTTTCCAAAAGATGGAAAACCAAAACACTTTTGGATGCTATGAGAATAATTCCCGAAATTGTTTTATAAATCGAATGGCAGAATGATGCCATCTATATTATGGAATGAATTTGAAATATTATGTTTGAAGAAACCATCAGAAAGTTCACTTTCACAGCTTTATCTAAGGGTCATAAGGGTCAAAATACAAGGGTCTGAATATCAAAATCAAAATGGAAGGTACAAAATTTCCAAAAAATTCTAAATTTACACAAATCATCATAAAAATCAACCCAACGAATATACGTATCGTAACGGTCTTTTACCTTCGACAAAGTACTTTTAAATGAATATTTTCAGTTATGATTGTATAAATTTAAAGCAGGATATCCAAAGACATCATCGGAATTATAATTTTTATAACATACTAAATTTTTCGAAAATTACTCTAAAAATCAAAACGATTATAGCTAGCGCCTTCATCTTCGAACTCGGTCGAAGAGACATCCAAAGAATTTTTTCAAGTCATCATTCAATGAATTCGGAACATTTTTGCAAGTTATGGAGGGACAACCGATTTCTAAAAAAAAATCAAAAATATAATCTATCGATGAAATTTTAATTCATATCGATGGATAGCGCTCAACAATACCTAAATTTGAAAAACAATGAGTCAAATCCATCGTTTTATTAGCGATAATATTTAGGTTGATATAACACATAAATAAGAAACTTAAATTTGAACAATTACAATGCTGCCATTCGGAAACAGACGAGGAAACCCCATTTATTTGGTTCAAATCAAGGCTATTTAATAAAAATGAACAATTTTCCTGGGTGCATCATTGTAATCGTTCCAATCATCAAAACAACTTGAAATCATCTTAAGGCCCGGGTGGATTATCTTTCCTACGTTATCTCGATTGTTTTTCCATCTTCATAATCTAAAATAAATCACAATTTCCACTGGATTTTACATGACGTAGGTGTCCCTAAAAATTATCATTGCACAATAGAAAAATGTGGAAAAAAAACTGAAAATTCTCAAATAGCATTTTTAATAAAGATTAGACAATAAGTCCGACAGAGAGGAAATTGTGAATGGATAATTTATCATAGTAACTAACCATCTGACAGGCATGGCCTACTGAGACAAATGACAAGTAAACAGCCATTAGATACTGTAAATTATTAATTTGCAATTTCCTCTCTATTAGGTTTATTTCCCAATGTTATTCAAAAACGCTCTTTGAAAATGTTCAGTTTGTTTTCAACTTTTTTTTATTGTTAAATGATTTCACAGTTTACTAAAATCATAATTTTTGAAGACTCCAAGGCAATGTAAAACTGAATGGCAATTGAAGACCATTTCAGATTATGAAAATAAAAAAAAATAACCCAGATCACGTTCGAAAGATAATACACGCGAGCCTTAATGCAAGAAAATAATTTCATTTCCATTGATTTTTTTTGTGCAGGTACTTGTGTCGTGTCGAAGAGATGCGACAATCCCTCAGAATAATCGAGCAGTGTCTGAATCAAATGCCAGCTGGTGAAATTAAAGTGGACGACAACAAAATCGTGCCCCCCAGTCGCCAAGAGATGAAGACAAGTATGGAAGCACTGATCCATCACTTCAAGCTCTTCAGCCAGGGCTTCCAGGTGCCACCTGGTGCTACCTACACAGCTATCGAGGCCCCTAAGGGTGAATTCGGAGTTTACCTGGTGAGTGATGGCAGCAGCAAGCCTTATCGCTGCAAAATCAAGGCACCAGGTTTCGCCCACTTGGCAGCCCTCCAGGAAATCGGTCCTCGACACTTCCTCGCTGATATAGTCGCCATCATCGGTACCATGGACATTGTCTTCGGGGAGATCGATCGATAAATTACTCTTTAGAATCGCATTTGAAGTAAACTTGATCGACGGTTCATTTGTATATTATAGATTGAGTAAATTATAGAAAAAATAAAGTACGAATAAAATTCTGTGAATAAAATGACAGCTTTATTCTTATATTCCTTCAAACGATGGAGACAAAATGATTCTATTTACATTTGTCGTTATTAAATGATATATGTCACTGATTTAAAAAAATATTACAATTCTCTTTTCATTTCTTCAACTTTTCCCAATTTCTAATCGCATTTTTTTCGTTTTTGCAAATTTGCTTTTTTGTAATTCATGGAATTTCCTAAGAAAAAAGTCATTCAATTTTTGTCATCAGATCAAGTGAGTCATTACTAAGGTAATTGACGAGGAAAGTTCCAAGTGCAGATAAGTTGCAAAAATTCCAAGGACGTTTATCCAAAACTCCTAGCACTTGAATTTTTATTTATTTTATTCTCTCTGATAGACAGAGTCATGTTCTTCATGTTGATAAAGTTTTAATCCATCAACCGAAGTTGAGGATTTAGGAATAAAATAGAGAATATGAGCAGAATCTAGATGTTTAACATGACGTTTTATAGCCCTTGAAGGTGTAAATATATGCATTATTTGTCTGAGTTTTTTCCTTTGTCATTGGATTCAGTAAATTTTGTTTCATTTCACTCTGCTTTGATTTTTATTTTTCGAGTCTTCCCGGAGGTAATTTATGAGACTATTTCCCAAACATCTTCAAAACTGATGGAATAAAAAGAAAAAAAAGACAGTACTTGTCTGTAGGACAAATTCAGTAGCAAAACGGTAAGACGGATAAGTCGATTTTTACTATTGCCCAATTTTCAATGAATATATCGGAATCTGAGGGAAATAACAAAATTTTTGCCGTGACCTTTTTTATAGCATTTAATCTGCTCTACAGAAAAGGTCATTGCGAAAAATTCGCTATCTCCCTTAGATTCGAAGATATTCCTTGAAAACTCCTAAGATTTTGTAACCGCCCATATTTTTTTTGTCATTACATTCCGATTAGGTGTGAATAAAAAAAACAACGCATTTGATGATTCACTGTGAAGGAAAAAAAATCAACAATGAAAAAAATCATTGTCTCATGATCTAATATATATAAAGTAAAACGGATACTTGGGTTTGCTCGTTGGAGTATAACGAACATTTAAGAAAAGTTGAAATCGAATGAAAACTGTGGTGTAAAGAGCATTTTTAAGGTAAAAACGTGAAAAATTACGTTTTTAGTAGATGCACGGGCAAAACGGATCGGGGTAAGAAAAATTCTTACTGTTTAATATATCCCTTCATATACCAAAAGTCATCCAAATCGTTTTACCGCTTCGCTACTGAATTTTCTACAAGAAAAAGTCCTTCGATGAATTTTTCTCTCTCTCGCCACCCTTCAGAAGATATTGAGGAAATAATCTGAAAAATTTTCTTGATTTCTCTCTAAAGAAATAATTGTGTTAATAATATCGAATTTGATGATCAGAAATTGGGAATTAATAGTAATGGGCAAGAAATAAAGAAAAATACTTTCTAAAACTCAAAAGTACAGATCCCAGTTAAATTATTGCACTCTCAAATTTTTGCAAAAAGAAATTTCACCAAATTCCTTCATCTCTTCCACTACCCGATGATCATGACATGATTGTCGTAATTATCCTAGAATATAAATATCTTCAAAATTCATTTAAGTCACTTCGCGATGCGGACGGAGCTTGCATAGTCAATCTTCAATCTAACAGTATCGTCTGTATTAAGTACATGATAAAATAGTCTACTAATCAATCAACATACACTATGTACATATCTGAAAACAAATTCAGAATCGGCTATTCTAATAAACTCATCTCAAATTGCCTAGAGATCATTCGATGAAAAATAGTTTAATAGTTGTTATCAGGTTCAGTTGGGTATCTACATCATGAATGCGTCGACAAAATGTTCCTAAAAATCTTCATGCGCTGCAGAAAACTCACAACATGTTTTAAAAACAACTCTGGAATTTCCAGTAGTTTTAGAGAATAAAATCTATTGAGTCTAGCAACGGAATTATTTAGTGAACAAGTCGTTTTACGAAATAAGAACAAAAGAAGAATGCTTGGAAAATTGTCTCTTCATGGTCTTTCGTTAAACTACTCATCACCTAGATAATTGAACAGAGAAGGAGATGAATCATAAAATTCCACATCATTTTATTAATATCGCTGGAATGAGTTTATGGGCAACTGTCAAGACTCTTTTTGTAAATAAATTTTTAAGAACTATCAAAAAGTTTGTTGGCATTGTCCGATAAATCTACTATTTTTTTTTAGATATTTTCGAAAAAGATTATTACGCAACAATCTCTAAAATTATGTGATTCATTAAAAAAGTCTTTTTTATATTTCATAGAGTTCTCTATGAAACATTTATTTCGCGATTTTTTTCGAGCCTCTTTTTCAATTGTTAAAATTTAATTCTGCTAAAACAATACATAAAATAATTTTACTATTTGAATATCTGAGAAACTACTAGATTTTCCGAGTGATTTCGAAGATTCTTTCCATAGGAGTAGTGTATAAAATCGTTCAGAAAATAAACTTATTGATAGTTCTCTAAACTTGTTTTCTCCAAAAATATGCACAAAATTGTGAACAAATTAACGGCTCCATTATCTACCGAACGTTATCCAGATTGCTGGTTTAGTTCGATTTTTATCTCAAAATTTCAACTCAGACTCGCGAAAATTATGAATTTGGATTGACAAAGAATTTTTAAAAATTCTGAACATTTGCAAAGAGAGTTTTTAATTAATATTGGGGAATGGGTTCAATGGAGGAAATATGCATAATGTATAATAACCGTGGCAAATGGCGGCCTGTTGGTCGCCACTATGGGGGGAGGAAAGACGAAATGAATCCTTTGGCAACATTTAAGACGAAATAATAAATCCTTTGACTTAATAAATCCTGTGCACCAGACGATTGCACAAAAAGAAGCTCTTTGAAAAAGTTTGTAATATTTTTAAGAATTTTCTGATCACACTTTTACGATGAACTACTAATCACTTCCACCAATGTCCGCAATTGAAAATTGTACTGTCCATCAACTATCACTTTTGTCGGGGGCTCAAAAAAAGGAAGAAAGAGAGATTTTCCAATTTTTTCAATTCCCGATAAAAGTGACAGCTGATCGCCAGTACAATTATCAATAGAGGAGATTGGCGTAAGTGATTAGTAATTCATCGCCAAAGTGTGATAACAAAATTCGTAAAAAAATCTTTAAATATAATTTGTAATATTCTTAAAATATTGCAAATATTTTTTATTATTTCGTCTTTCCTCAATTATAATGATAAATTATCCATATTTCCTCCATTGAAATAATTCCTCAATATTGATTAAAAACGCTCTTTCAAAATATTCATAATTTTTAAAATTTTTTTTCAATCTAAATTTAGAATTTTCGGGCATCCCTGACTGGCGGGACATCAAGTTGAAATTTCAAGATAAAAATCGACCAAAAAAATCAATTTACATAACCTTCCGCACATGATTAAGCCAGGTCTTGATTTCAGATTCATCTTCCCACCCCAGCCTTTGACCCATTTTACTCCCTTTACTGTTTTTTCGTCACATTCTTCCCTATATTTTTCAACATTCCTCCAAGTACAAAATTCCTCTAGAAATCACAAAATTAGAAAAGTCCGAACATTTTTCTACTGCTCCCAGTGCTCCTCTTTTTCCTGGCTGGAGCACTAACATCCGGACTATCTCCCCCATTGCTGCCATTGAGCTGTGGACTAGGTGGTGTCAGTTTACTCTTCACATGCTCATCAATGAGTGCCTGCATGTCCATCTGCCACTGCTCGAGTTGCTGACTCAGCTCAATTTTCTGCTGTATTGCCTCCATCAGCTGGCTATTGACCTGAAGGACGTCTATTCTCGTCCTAGCCAATTCCACCTCTGCCCTATTCTTCCTGGCAACTGCCTGATCCCTCACTGAATAAGCCTGGGCAATCACTTCGTCTCTGTTAAGTTCAGAGTCCTCAATGTCACCACGTGCACGATCACGCTCCTCTTTCACTCCACGTAGTTCAGCTTCACAGACACTTAATTTACTCGTTGTGTCGAGGAGCGCCTCACCTCGACGCTTTAATTCCTCTTGTGTCTGCTTAAATTGCTGTCTCGTGTGATCCAACTCCTCGGTCACTCGGTGGAGTTCAACTGCCAGGTTTAATTCACCTGGCGCACCTCTTCCGGTTAAGGCGAGACTATAAACCTCCTCGACTAAGTCGGATAGTACTCCGGGACCCTAGAAAGAAATTCAATGATTAATTTGGAGATTTTATTTGATGTGAGGTCGATGATGACGAGATTAAGAGGTAGTCACACCGCTTTCTTCAAGTACCACACGTATTTCATGGGAAATTTCGACAAAATTTTTTTTTTTGTGTATTCCATATGACCTTCCGCAAAATCAATGGCATGGAATTTGATACAGCCAGTTGCTTCTGTTGAATGAAAAAAAATGTTGTTGTAAAATGAAAATTTCATGATATTTCATGTCTACACTTTTTTTTATAGATAAAGAAGAGACTAGAAAAAATCGCCGAATTTTCCCATCGAAGAGAGGAGAGTCGGACAAAATGAAACAGTCAAAAATAACAATTCGACGCAATTCGAGCAAAAAAAATTTTTTTTATTAACTTTTGTTTATCAACTTTGTTTATTATTGGGAGTACTGATGAGAATAATAATTTTCTGTTCGTCTTACAATTCAATAGATTATAAGTCAATCGATTAGATTAGGTCAATTTTCTTTTTTCATTGGATTGAAATTCAGCATCACATTTTTCTTTTTCCCCTTCTGCACGGAAATGTTCAGTAAAAATTACGGAACTCACAGTTTGCTTACCGGTTACGAAATCGACTCAGAAAATTTAAGTGTGACGGTATCGTAATTTTTCACAGGAGATTTCAGATAAAAATTACGGAACGCTCTGGAAAAATTCCGTGACGGTTTCGTAAAATTTCCTACAGCCATATTTCGCTCCGGAATTACGGAAAAGATACCTAATTTTGATTGAATGTTTCTCTCCGTGTGGGTCTCCCCCTGGGCCTCGCTCTGGGCTTTGGATTTTACTGCTTTAGTTTCTTTTCAATTAATCCATTGACAAAATCGTCTCCCGTCAAAACTTTTCAATAATTTTCCGTTTTACTAAATGGAAAATTATTATTCTCATTGATACTCCCAAGAATAAAAAAAAAAGTTAATAAGCAAAAGTTAATAAAAAAAAATTTTGCTTGAATTGCGTCAAACAGTCGTTTTTCAACTGTTTCATTTTGCCCCACTCTCCCCTACTTCCTGTACATGAAAAAGTGGTGTGACCCCCCTTAACTTTGTTAGCGTCACGTGGGGTGATCATAAAAACTGAAATAAAACTGAAACTGTTATAAAACTGAACATATTTGCTCTTATCGATTTCCTTCGTACCCGGATTAATTTTCGATCCGGATTATTCCTCACTAACTCCCTAAATAATTTGAATAAGAAAAACCACATGAGAGTAAATTCGTTTAGTTTAACGAAAGCAACGTCTATTATTTGAAATATTTTTCTTTTTCGTTGATAGTTGTTCCGCAAACTCAGTTTAAGTATATCCAAGTATCTTTTACAGTTTAGTACAGGCCACACCATTGATTCCACTATTTTGAGTCATCAAATTTGTCAATTAAATTGTGTGAGAAAAATTCGAAAGAATCATGTATATTCAGACTTATTCAAATTACATTTTGCACAGAATCATTATTTTTTTAAACATTCGTTGTTTATAAATAAATAATTAAAATTGTTTAAATTTTCAGAAACATAATTTTTTCAGGCATGAAATCGATCTCTGGTAAAATCCTGAATATGAATAAATTTGTTAGGATTCCGAACAAATGATTTTTATCGTGGAAAATTGATTGCTTATAAGTTATTTATAGAAAATGCTCGTAATTTTAAAAAATTGCCATTCTTCAAGCATTTTATCAATCTTCCCCCAAAAATAAACTTTCTAATTTTTTTTCAGCTTTGTAAAATTTCTAGCGGTTCAATATTGAGATTAAAATTCCAACCTGCGAAGTTTAAATAATAAAATCATTGTTAAATGTCCGGAAACTTGGGATAAAATGCACGGAGGGAAATATTTAGTAAAAGTTACGGAATTCATAGTTCGCTCACCGATTACGGAATCGACCCAGAAAATTTAAGTGATGGGATCGTAATTTTTACCTGAATTTCGTGTGAAAAATTACGGAACGCTCTGGAAAAAATCCGTGATTTTAGGTAAAAATTACGTGACAGTTCCGTAAAATGTCCTACAACCACATTGCGCTCCGGAATTACGGAAAAGATACGTAATTTTTATTGAATAATTTTCTTTGTGTGGGACGCAAATAAAAGCTCTGACGTTCGACTACAAAAGTAGAAAACCATTTCACTAGAGAAAAAATAGGTTTAAGTTTAAATTGCGAAGTAATTCCCCATAATTGATCTTCAAGTAAAATTTAATTACCGGATTTTGTCACGTCTCTACTCAATTTCTCCCTCACACTCTAGATTTATCGATCAATTCATCAAAATCCACTTTCTAAAATTCGCATAAAATGAATGAAAAATTTCTCTCTGCTTGTTTTATCAAATCATTACGGTTTTATGAGTGCATTTACTGGCCGAAGTTTTTAATGTGAGTAGCGAGAAAGAAAATATTCTACCTCGCTCTCAGATCCATTGACAATAACGACCATTGACTCATCGCAGTCACTCTGAAGTCCCGAGTCGTCTTCCCCACGTCTTAGTTGTGTACTCAGCTCTCTAAGACGTTTGCACGCCCTCGCCACTTCCGCCCTGATGTCCTCTGGCTCACCGAGTGAACTTCCGCTCACCTCGCACTCCATTTCCGCCTGCAACGACCTCGGTGCCTTGTGTATCGATCCAGACCTGCCTCTCTGCTCTGCTTCGATCGCAGCTAGGGCCGCTGCTAGGTCGTCTCTATTCAATAAATTAAAACAATATATTAATCTCAAGACATTGCACGAAGAGAAATTCTCTGAAAAGAGATGCAAAGTGCCTGGCATTGAAAATTTTATTGGAAACACGTAAATTTTTTTTATGCATATGAGCTTTTTTTCTATTTTCTATGTTTTTGAGGCCGTCCACCTTCCAGGTTTTACGGGCCATTATCCCTTTTAATCGGGAAGTTTCGTTTATTAGGAGATAGATAATATAGAAAAAAACTGGCCTTATCCCTCTTAAGTAGGTTTTTTCTTTCCTAGTGGGAGTCGATTGGAAAGGTTATAAAATTAGACATGGAAAAAAAACTGGTTCTTACCTCTCTTGATTAAATTTTTTTTCTTTAATAGGGGGTGTCGATTGTAAAGATTATAAAATTAGACAGAGTCACTTTTTGAGCTGCCATTGATTGGCGGTCATTTTTTTCCATTCCGCCCGAGAGCTTCAAAATTACACAGAGAGAAATATTCAATAAAAATTATGTATCTTTTTCGTAATTTCGAAGCGAAATGTGGTTGTAGGAAATTTTACGGAACTGTAACGGAATTTTTCCAGAGCGTTCCGTAGTTTTTATCTGAATCTCGTGTGAAAAATTACGATACCGTCACTTAAATTTTCTGAGTCGATTCCGTAATCGGTGAGCGAATTGTGAGTTCCGTAATTTTTACAGAACATTTCTCTCCGTGAATCAGGAATTTTCCGATAGCTTCGGCGCTTTCCGGCAAAACTTGGCACGATTGTTTGTTTGCACGAGAAATTCGGTTAAATATCCGATTAATTTATAATAAAGTTCGAGGGGTATTCATCGGATTATTTTTTCCAATCGGATTTTGGCCAATCAGAGTGCAGTGAACAACATCAGAAAGTGAATTAGAGAATAATTGAAAAATTATGTCAATAGAATAACCCAAATTCCGTAGATTGTCAAATGCAAGATACGATCTGAAATCAGCCGAAAAAAGGAGGAGCTACTGCGAAATATTCAGGTAAAAAAGATGAAGAGCTACTGCGAAATATTCAAAAGCTAGGAGGAAATATCCGAAATAAAACTGTCGGGTAACCTCAAATACTGCGCTCTGATTGGTCGAAATTCGATTGGGAAAAATAATACAAATAACACTGATGTGTAGGTATCACGTGATCTCCAACTACATTTTAATGGGTCGAAATCAGAATTGAGGAAATTATCACAGCTATTTCCGGAAATTTTATCAGAAATCTGGATAAATTTTATCAAAAACTACCGTAAATTTTACTTGAACAGCACTAGATTTTTTCTTAACCGGTAGATTGTAAATTTTCCAATACTGGCACTAGAGTTTTTCTAAAAACTTCGAACTAACTAGAGCACTAGTGCTTGTTAATTTTTGATAAATATCTCTCCGTGTGGGGAAAATACAATGATAACTTTTTGATTCATTCTCAACTCAATGGATGACTATTTCTCTATCTATAATTAGACATAAGATTGAACTTGAATTAACTGGATTGAGACTATCATTGGAACTTGAGCACAAATTTAATTATCTTTGCACGAGGATGATCCCAGGGTAACATGTTTAATCCCAATGGTAAACCAAAGTCATCGGTTTGTCTTCAATTAATTGCATTAGTCAAATCAATTCAGTAATAAACCAGTAGTTTTACGAGAAAATGTTAAAATACCTTTTTGTGGGGGATTTTCGGAAGAGATCTCTTGGTCATTTCAAGAGATGAGTAACGACTCACTACGAATTACTAAATGCTGATTGCAGACCCATTCTTTCAATTAATTTAAAATTACTAAGGATAAAACATCTTGTGCTGAACATTTGAAGTGTCCTGAGATGGAAAATTCTTATCGCAAATGTAGATTTAGTTCTTCAAAAAAATAAAAAAATTTCTGTGCAAGCAAGAAATCTCATTCTAAAGTAGTGTGGAAAAGCCAAAAAATTATTCAGCAGTGATAATTTTTCTCATGAATTCTAACTGATGAAAATAAGAAATTGATATATGAAACCGTAATTCTTTCTTCAATTACATTTTTAAACAATAGTTTCTCGTTTAACTAGAGTGTCACGACGTAACACACCATTTCGGCCATGCAGAAATATAAATTATTTATTACGAAAGTTTGATACTGAAGAGAATTCTTCCCATCCAACTTTCAGCCAATAGAATTCGACTATTCGACTGTTATTTTATATAGTCAAGACGGCATTCAACTGATCATTTTTGATAATTCAACGGGTAATTTTTCATGTTTATATGTATATGAAAATCAAAAGATTTCCTGGTCTAGTGAGCCCGTCATTGGACCTGACAGATGGATTTTGTCTCAGGGTGCAATTCTCTGGGCTGAAATTTGGATGGAAAAATTCTTTTCCGCATACCACTCGAGCTTCAGAATTAATCAGGTATTGCCCTCAATTTTCCCTGCATACAAACGAACCTATCGGGAAATCCCTGATAATTTTGAAGCTCTTGTAGTATTACGATAATTTTCATACTAGGCGTAGAATTTTTATCGATTTTTTCCGATTTTTTGAAATTTTTTCTAGATTTTAATCTTCTCCCTGACCTCAAAAAGTGAAATTTCTCATACGACTGCGTTATCTTTGCACTTCTGTAGGAGAATTAGTAGAAAAATTAGTAGAATTTCATCTTTCTATTTAACTTTTTCTTTTGAAACATTTTCAATAGAAAAACCCTGATATAAATTCTCTAAATTCTTTCTACTTTATTTTTCTTCTTCATTTAATGAAAAAATTAAACAAAAAAACATTGAACATTGAGGCCGTCCAATTTCTAGGCTAAAAACGGCATTCTATTGATTTTTTCTATAGAAACAGTAATTTTGTTAGGAAGATTGACGATTATTTGCATAATCGCAAGTCCCTTATAAGAAATTTAGTATTATTTACTTAATAGAAAATTTACAGATCCTTATTATTAAATATTTAATTCACCATCAATTGAAATTTTAGATCATCAATTATTTTACTATTTTTAAATTTCGATTAGGATATTTAAACATTGATCAATGTAAGTCGGAAATTCTTTTAATATTTAAGAATCGGAAAATTGATGGCTATCCCTGCAATTAAAGGTCTATATGCCTCTCTGGAAGGAAAAAGGGACTCTACGATATCACCTGAACGGAACTGCCAGAACTGACTTTGGGATTCAACCGAGCAGTCCCATAAACTCAATAGACCTTTTCATTCTGGAAATCTAGGGGAAATATTTATTTCGTTCATTCAACGAAAAAATCTCCGAAAAAACCATGGAAAATTCTGATAAATATTGAACTTTACAATGATATACACTGAGCGCTCAAAAACTATGATTTATATGTAAATTCGATAAAATGTCCGCAAATCCTAGGGGACTTAACATTGGAAAAAAGTGTCCGCAAATCTAGTGACTCTCAGAATGAAAAGGTCTATTCGCAAATGTATGAATTAATGTATGCATAAGAGATTGACGTATTCATTAGAGAGTGGGGGTATGGCGCATTATCAAGACATTCGTACACTTTGGTACGGATACTTGAGACTCTTGGTGATAAGCGCCTTGAAGACAAATCCGCACGTAGCAACCACATAACCGCACGATAGTTATATAAATTACCATAATATTTTTTACAAGGCTTTAGGTATTCCAAATTTTTTCGGACCTCTGAATTATTGTTCTCTCCCTTCAGGATTCTATATTCGTCTCTAGATGATTCCTCATGCTATGAATTTCAAATCGGCGTGACCACCCAGGTATCAGCGGGGTTGTCTTGTCTACCCATTGTCTTCTCATGTAAATTCCTTTCTTGTATTTTAACACTTGGTTCCTGTTATTTCAGATAAGAACGGAACCAAGGTCGCGATTGTTCTAAAGTGACATCCACTCATTTCGGTTCATGTAATCATTCTATTTTATTATCTAAACCGTTTCATTATACTAATAATATTATCACGGAAAGAAACGATCGTCTGTGCCAGACCTTCAATGATAGAATTATTTATTCATACTAGGGAGATAGAAATTTTCTATACGGATTGCCCATAGAATTTATATAGGATTTTCATATGACATTCGGATATTTCTATACAGATATTTTTTATACAAATTATTTCTCTACGATTTCTATAGGTTTGATTCTATACGACTCACTGCCCCATATATAGAAACATTTCGTATGGAGCTGCGACATTTCTCTACGTTTTTCTCTGGAGCGTTTAAACATCTTTCGTATGAAAACAAAAATTTATGTATTGAAATAATTCGAATAGAAATATCTGAATATCATATACGTAAATCCTATAGAATTTCTAAACGCAATCCGTATAGAAAATTTCTATACGATTTTTTCATACGTGATTCCCCCTGCTCGCTCCGCTCGTCAGCCCCCGTAGGACCCCCATGACCCTTATTCTGACCTTTAATTTTTGAAGCTTCATTTCTGATCCTCATAACCCTCGTGACCCTTAGTTAGTGACCCTTCATTTCTAACCCTTAATGTTGGAGTCCTAATTTCGAGTAACAAATTTCTCTGGAAGACGACACGCTGGGTCATCGCAAAGAATTTTTTAACTTCAACTTCATTTCTACATATATAAAATTACTGAAGACCGCTTAGGCCAACCTCTTGTCATCTGAATAATAAATAATTACAACAGTCAAAAAAACTTATTCATAAAAAGTACCAAATTTTCATCACCAGAATTCAATTTGGATTTTTATAATATACAGAAATTCGCAACTAATTGATCTACTTTTGTTACCGGAGTAGATCCATTAAGAAAATAGAAAAGTGAAGGAAGCGCCAATGAAAAACATGAAGCTGAAAAGAAATCTAAAAAAACAGAGATAGGCCAAATCGTAATACAGAATTAAAATTATTTTATTACATACAAAATCAGGTAACTGTATTGTATAATTTTTTAATTTTTATTAAATTAATCTTTAATGAAAATTTTCTATTTATTGAATATTTTATAAATCACTAATCAACTTCGCAAGAATGATGATTATTAGCTGAATTGAAAAGTCTAATTCAGATATTTAGAATTAATTGTTGAATTCAGTGGCGAAGTGGTAAAGCGGTTTAAGTCGACTTATCGCCTAGTTGAGTTTTTGAGTAATATTTCCGAATCTAAGGGAGATAGCGAAATTTTTATAATTACATTTGTTATAGCTCTCGGTCGGCTCTACAGAAAAGGTTTGGTTGGAGAGTTACTAGGCTTAGGGTGGATGTGGGGGAAAAATGTGGAGGGAGATGCTGGAAAATTAATTGTGGCACTGATTATAAAAATATCACTATTTATTGTGGATCGAACCACATCGTTAATTCTCTAAAAATACTCTTTGGTATGAATTTGTCACTGTTGATAGTCTTTTGATTAACCGATAATTGTCTGAAATTAATACTGTTGAATCACTGAATTTA